CAGCGACCAGCCGACAGTGGGGCGTAAAGCTTCTACTACTACAAAACCCCTCCATCTCAGAACCTCGACAACGGCTCACTTTTCCCCGGCTGACGGTCAGGACAGCCCACGTGTCACGGGCACGAACCGGCCCGTCTGTTCTCGGCTGAGACGGGCGAACATGTGAGCCTTCGCTTCCGTCTACACCGCCTGCCTTGGCGCTCCCAGCCTGTCGCATCGCCTGCGCGCTGCTGCCCCAGCCGGGGGGGTGCGGCGGGGGCGGGGAAGGCGGCTCTCGGCCGCCTGCTCTGGGGGGGGGGCGGGCGAGAACCGCCTGGCCCCTTTGCTCAGCTCTGCCCGTCGTGCAGACTTGGAGGCCGCGGCAGGGAAGGCCCCGGGCAGGGAGGGCGGAGCTGGACCGCAGCCCCTGTCTCACCCCGAAGCCCCTGTTGCTCTGCTTTGCTGCGCTGTCTCCTGTCCGTGATGTTTGAATGCGCCTGAAAATGCTCTGCAAGGCGTGAAGTGCGATGCTAGTTAGTGGCTGATTTGTTCAGTTATTCGTTCTGTCACCAAACAGATGGCTGAGACGAGAGAGTGGCTGGTGGCCCGTGCCCCTTGCCCTCGGTGGCCTTACGTCTGAGTGCAGCGAGGGTGTCGGTAGCTGGCCTGGGGGGGCGCTGGCCTTGCCACTAGTCTCAGGGGAGGGGTCGCCCCCTCGCCCTTGCCTGGCCTTGGCTTCCCAGCGCAGCACCGCTGCATGCCCGCTCGGGCTCCGGAGGGGCTGATGTGTGTGTGTATCTGCCTACATACATGAACACGTGCATACATGTGCACATGTATGTGCACGTGTGCTGATCTGTTCCCGGTGTGTGTCTAATAGTATTATTCCGTGGTATTTCCCTCATCTCAGTAGAATACCAGCCTCTAAATCCTCAATCATTATTCACTCTGAGAAGGAAAGACAAAACTCTCTCACTCCACGCCTGTGGTGCAGTGAGGCACGCAAAGGCTTCTGTCCGCTGCGGCCAAATCGGAACGCGACGGAGAGGAAACAGAACGCCCGGCTGGGGGGAGGGAGGGGCAGAGCGTGCAAATATATAGAGTTAGACACTTTTAAGGAATAAAGACTGCTAATAAAATATTTTATATAAAACTTTTCACTTGTATTCAGTGTCAGATACTTCAAGTGATTTGCTTGAATTTTGCTAGGTGAAATGATTTGTAGATGGTATTTGGAATATACTTGTCGCCCATCTCGCAAGAGCTCGATTTGTTGCTCCTGTTCCAGCCCACGCCTGGCTGCAGACACTCAGCCCTCCCTCGGCGACGTTCTTGTTGTGTGTGCAGCTGTCTGAAAGCTCCGTGTGCCCGCCATTCCCGGATGCCTCACCCGTGTCCTCCGCCTTGTTAATGTCGCCACGGGTTCGGAAGTGCCTGGGCGAGGCTCGCTCGTTTGCGGCAGGCGCTGGCCACGCCTTCCCTGCGGTCCCCTCCCTCTTAGCGGTGGTCCCCCCACCCCGACCCCCACCCCGACCCGGGCTCCAGGCGGCAGCTCCAGCTCCAGCAGTTGGACGTCCCTGTCCGTTGCTCTGGTTTTGCTGGAAATCGGTTCCGCAGGCTCAGGTCTGCAGGGGCAGCGGCCGGTGGGGAAGCAGCAGGACCTGGAAGGTCTTCGTGCTCCATCTGCTCACCGGTTC